CTGAGGTTAAAGACAAACTCAGAGAATGAGAAATAAGAATGTCCAAATGAGGCAATCCAAGGGAGCAAGCAGCACCTTGGGGTGGTGGAAAGGCAGTGAGGGAAGGGACCACCAAGTAGGAAGAGGTACAGACCAGAGGTCAGGATGGCCCAATAAGAGTAGCCTCTGTACTCACTCTGCAACCCCTTGTCCAACCTGAAGGCTGCAGAGGCCAGGAGGGGTGTTGGCAAGACTGGCCAGGGCAGACACTGACCCATCACTTATCAGTGCGTACTGAGGCCAAGATCCAGCCTGGCACTGCACCAGTCTTAAGAGGGGGAGGGGGGGGACATAGGAGGAAGAGACAGACACTGGGTAGAAGCAGAGCCAGACAGTAAGCACAGCCCTGGGGGCCCTGCAACGAACTGGTCACCCACTCCCCAGCTTCTCACAGTTTCTTTAGCCCCTTTTCTGACTCTGCATTTAACCAGATCTTCCAGTTATCCATCTTTTTTAGCTAAGTGACAAGTCCCTTCATAGGAAGATGGACTTAAGCCTTGCTAAGCAAAGGTCTCCATTTCTCCAGACACTGAGTGCCCAGCCTCCCCAGGAACCGGGTGCCTCACTGAGATTGGGGGTAGGGGGAAGGCTGAGTGGAGGAAGTGAGGGTTGGGAGAGAAAGAAAGATCCTAGTTTTTACGAGTTAGGTTTTGTTTTTGTTAAACTGGAAAGTCCCAACAAGAGGCCCTAAGAGGGCCTGTCACAAAAGTTTTGGGGTGAAAAAGCCCTGAGAAACGAAGGGTCCAAGCTCTCTATTTTACAGATGAGGAAACTAAAACCCAGAAACTGAAAGTGAACTGTCCAAAGCCAAAGAGCCAGTCGGGATCGGGGCCATAGCAGAACCGGGCTCATTCAGGCCAGGGATGTCCCACAATACCTGGCCTTGGCTTTGGGCAGCTGTGTTGCCCCAGTCACTGCCCTCAAGCCCAGTTCTCGTTCTGCTGCCTGATGATCTCCTTCACCCAGAGATCACCTCCACCGGCCGCCGCCTCCCAGAAGCGGCCGAAGAGCAGCTCCCACCCACGAGACACGGAAGAAGGGGCTCAAAGGCGCCCGGAAGAAGCAAGACG